CTTTACGCCTTTTTTTCGCGTTCTTCTTGCCAATTAAACCTCCAGACTGGACGTCTCGATCGAACGACTGCGCGACAAGGAACTTCCTGAACTCTCTCTGTGGAATTTCACAAGTTATTGATAGAGCACTGCCTTTGAGGAACCTCGTTGTTACATGCTCGACGAGTTACTTAGGCACTATCTAACTGGCGTGTGAATTCTGATCATCTGCTTGCCTTTAATCTCCCGATCCAAGTTTTTGGTAAATTTGCGGAACAATTTGTTAGGAAATTAAACGTGTGCAATATTTAAAGCTATCTGCTTTTTGGTGTCATTGCTTGTATTTTCGGACAATGGTGTAACGGAGTAGATTCGATTTCGGTACTTTTTGGAAATTGATTTTCGAAGAAATTTAATATCTGTTGCGCAGCGTCGGTTGATTGGTTTTCATTCTCACTGTGCAGTTGCTGTATTTTTTTATTGATAGAGTATAAAGTATTGTTTGATATATTTTTAGTAATATCTTTTAATCGTCGTGAAACTTTATACTTTGCTGCAATATTAGTAACCAGTGTTAAAAATAATGTAATATGGAGTACTTAATTTGAGTATTGAATATTCTTCATTTATACTGAAAAGGATAAAACGTTGTTTTAATTCCATCGTAAAATTTCATTTTCTGCTTCCATTAATATAAATGGCGTTATCTGGGTTTTTAATGAAAAGTGATAATTGCGTAAAATCACTCAACACTTTTATCAAATTTTATCTCCATTCGTCGTTGAAATATTACGGTCATTTGAAATTTAAAATTCTTCTCCATCTTCCACTTCTTCTATGTAGAAACCATATTAAATTTTTTGAAAAATTCCATTTTCGATTCCCCCTAAAAAAATTCTTAGAGAAAATCGAATGTCAAGAATATAACGTAAATAATCATAGTTCGTCGAGAATCCAGGTATCACCACGAAACATTCGACATTCACTTTTAAACTTGAACCTGCATCGGTTTTCATCAACAAACAATCGCTCGAAGAGGCTGTTCTCCTCTGTCGTAATTTTTCTCTAAACCGAGAAGGGCCGTTTCTGTGGCCACGACGGAAGTTCGAAAGGCGGCGAAGAAGAGGCGGCGTAAATCGACGGCTCAATGAAGCAGGCCACAACACTTTGTCTCAGGCGCATAAGTGCACTCGACGACTTTAGAAGCGCGTCGACGAAGGCGGGGAGGCTCACGTGTTGAAAGGCAGCCTTAAGAGAGGCTACCGCAGAAACCACCCTCGAGGCAAACAATGCCGATGTACACCGAATTATACCGCGATGTTTCGAATATTCCTTTGAATCTCCGGCAAATTTATCACTTGGTTCACTTTGGCACTGAAATTCATTTCCCCTTTCTTACTTTACTTTCCCTTGCTTACTTACTTTAATAAGGATTTTTTAAAGGAACACATTACGGTATTTGTCACTCTCTGTTAGAATTACAATTGATCGATAAATTTGAATTTATTGTGATTCTTTATCTTCAAACGATAGCTGTAGAAAAATAATTTCTAACTGGACCATTTTCGAAGAATTACGTCACGTTGCTTTATTTCTAAATTTCACGACAATTTTCGTACTTGTCAAATTTGATTAATCGGGAACCAGGCGAATTTTAGACGCTAATTTATTAAATTCGTTATTTCATTACGTCCTGTTACAGCCAATCCGCGTGTAATTCATTTTTGTTACATGTCTAATGCACGTTTGTAATTGAAAAAGTTTTCCAACAGCTTTCACGCTGGGTTTGTTATATGTTTATAATTGAAGAGGTTTTCCGACAGTTTCGGCGCTGCCACACGTAGAATATGTAACAAATAGTTAATATGCAAAATGCATAGTTTCCCTAAATTCCTGGTGTACATGGAAGCGTTGCGCATAGTTTGAATACCGAAGATAATCATTTTATTTATGATTCAATTACACAGTTTATCGAAATCCATACCCGAGTAGCTGCTCCATATCTTCAGATTATAGCCTCGATTTATCTTCTTTATTGCTTGCTGTCCGGCTTTCTTGAATAGTTTATAGCGCTAACGTGGATGATCCATTAGAACAGGAATTTATCGGTATTTAATTAAGCCATAAATAAAATTCCTTCTCATAATCTAACTGTATTACACTTGCTTGATCTTTTGATCGATCTTCTTTCCATAAATGAATAAAATTCTCTCATTTGTAACATTCGCATCATGAATTTTAACACACTTGCTCGTTTGACAGATCCTTTTTCCACGAATGACATTTTTATCACAGATAATATTCGATGTGTTTAATCAGGAAATCTATAGAATCACTTCCAAAGTTTTCGATACAATACCATTCGCATAGCTTTCGTAATTGATAATACCGAATGCCAGTTATCCATCCGTTAATCACCCAGAAATTGATTTCCCGAAGATGTATCGTCCTCCACGGGAATTCCTGCGCTCAAGATATAGAAACACTCGCGTGTTTGCATTCTGGATCGTTAGGTTTCTATACTTAAGAGCTTCATGCGAATAATTGGTAGCAGGCCAGGTATATTGTTGCCAGATTAGAATGATTCCTAGCTTGCCTGGTAATCGATACTGTGCAATGCTTACATCCAAATTAGCTTTCTGCGAGTGGAATTTATGAGAGAACCATTCGAAGAATTTGCAATAGTTTATCGTTCGTTTCTTTTATTTTCTACAGTAAAAGAAAAAGTAGTCTTAAGACACGAATAAAATATTGAAATATTTCTTATGCAGTTATTAATTCACTTTAATTAATTGATATTAATACCTACAGAAATTTACAGCGAATGATTAAAATCAAACTCTTTTGGAATTTCACAAAAGAAGTTTCTCTGGAAAATCTATTTTGACGAAGTTCAGACCTCTATAAAGTAATTTTCTTTTTTTTCCTTCTTTGGTAGTAATAGACGAGTAATTTAATTAGATGAATTAATGTAATTCATCGAACTTAGGTAGTCGAATTTATTGTATAACCGGTGCTTTATTACGATTCCCAATGGAATTCAAGGGAATGCGCGAGTGGTGCGTCGACCTCGTGCAAGAACACGTGAAAATCCGAGGAATGGCGCAAGTGTGGCACCAATGAGGTTCGCGAAGCGTGTTCGCGACGATCGCGACCGCAAAAACGAACTATCAGCAGCTGGGGAGAACGCCTGATCCGGTTAGGTTCGTTGAAATTCGCAGATACCACGAACCGTAGCAGGTTTTACCGGGATCCAGAACTCCTCGTAAAAACCGTCCCCGTTTGTCTCGACATTTACGCGATTGTCAATGGTTATGTAGTCCCATTGCGACGTATCGCAGTCGATGTTAGTATAATGGTCTCGGGAAATGGAATTTGATTTTCCTCCTATTTCTAGTCTCCCATTTTGGCTGCCTTTTCCTTGTATATTTCAAATCTCCGTATTATTCACTGAAAACGTCAAGGAAATTTATATTTTAACCCGATTACTGAAAATTGGTATTTTTGCAAAGAAATTTTGCAGATAAATAAACCACTTGAGAATATTCTCAACTTATGCAATAACAGATTGACAATGAACGAAAGTATTATTTTTTATTTGTTACTTTCAATCTTAAAGCTGAAAATATTTTGCATTCGTTGAAATTTCAAATTTTACCCTCAATATTCTCGATATCAGAAATAACATTCGTATTTTTATGTTTGAAGTATTTCAACAAAAATTGAAGCCGGAAATATGTAAAAACGAGATTTCGATAATATTGCGTTGTTTTCGCAGGTAATTTAAATATGACAAAGTCGCGAAGGGAGGATTTTCACCTGGAAAATTTTAGTTTTTGCACACTGTTGATTTTTCCCCTGCACTCTTTCGTTGCTTTTCTTCCTATATTTTTATGTAAACTACAGCTACGTGAACAAATGACCATTCGTCGGTGAGGAACGAAAGGAAAACGGAGTTAGAAAGTGGAGTGCGTTTTGTACAGGACCTTTTAGTGGAATCGCGTGTAAGGCTAGCTAGGATACCGTGCTTTAAACGCGGAGGACAGTTGAACTCAGGTCAAAGGTTATATTTATTGAAACAGCACGTTAGGCAATAATTTACGGCAAGTCCATTTCTGTGTCGTCCCTCTAGGGGTGAATTGTAAGAGCTGTCGCCATATCTGTTTTAAGAGCACAACGAATGTGTGTTAAATTAATACAAAAATTTACACTTTATTGTGTCGTATTCATTGGTGCATGTTATTTCTAGAATACACAGCGATCTTATTAAATTTCGACCTCGTCAAACCAGTTTTCGTTTGAGTTGCTACTTGAACATCTGTATCTACAGATTTGTTGGGCATACAAGATGGTATAAACAAACAGTACAAAGCAAGTTTGAAAGGTAACAAACGAATATGAATAGGTGTAAACAGTTTCATAGTTTTTCAGCAGATAAAAGTAGAGAAAAAGAAAATGTAACAAAGACTGTGCAAACAGCAAAGATTGAAACAGTTCATATTTACAGAAGTAGTTAAAAGAAAAAGTCTGTCACCTACAAAATATCGCGACGATATTTCACTTCTTTTAAATCGAGAGTATAAATACAAACATTTCGAAATGAAGATACGATCTTTCTGTTTACGCTCGAGTAATATTTCAACATTTACTTGTTTCCATTCGATAATTATACGTACAATTTGTGGTGAAAAATTTACGACTTATGTTTTGCTGGAAACAGAAACACCAGATTTATCAAGTTCCATCTGAAAATGTGAGAATGTTCGTTTCGAACAAACAGGATTAAAGATTTTCCTCGATATTTTTGAACGTTTGACAATTTTGCGCGGGAAGTCGAAAGATTGGAGAGAAAAACGTGGAAGGATTTTTTGAAAGTTTCGAGGTCACGTTCGAATTCGTATTCCTTGGACAAAGTGTCCCGGCGAACTTCTCGAAGATCGGACGAGTAATTACGTTTTATGCGACAATAAAAAAACGGAACTGGAACGGTGAATTTATTAAAAACTTCTTTCTTGTTCCAGACGAGTTCAGAAGCAAAGTTGCTTGCGAGAATGACGTCATCAATCTTGCCTGCCATCCTGGACAGAGGGTTGCCATTTTCAGTGCATCGTTCGGTAGAACGGAGTATGAATCCCTTCAGTGCCCACAACCCCACGACGTGAAAGAAGAAAGTGAGTAAAATTTATGCTGTATGATATATTTTTAAAAACTTTTTTTCCCCTCTCTATAAAACGTCTCTTGTCGTTTTATTTTAATTCCGAGTAAAGGTATGCATTAAGGGTGACTGGAATTTTTCATGGAAATTTGTTCGTCGTATCGATAGCTCTGCATTCGTATTCTTTGTTGAATCATTGAAATTTCATTTGGTTCGAATTGTTCGGAAAATGGTGAAAATTATTCCACGAACGCAGTCCGCTTGTGAAATCATTTTTCAAAAGAGCAGCGGTGCAGTGTGTTTCTGATAAACGATAGGTAATTAATTATATTTGTAAAAATATTTTTAGATATTTTTTGGAACGAATTTTTATTTCGCATTTCGTGTAAAATATAAAAGAACCGTCGACTATCGATGTCTAGGATAGACATTTTACTCTTGGAAAGATATATAAACGCTGTTACGAGTTAACATCTTAATAATTCCCCTAAATATCGTTCTCTGAACCATGAAAACTCCCGAAGGAAAGTAGCAACCGAAAAGATATTCGAAAGTTAGCCGGACCATTAAATGTTTACGCGAGCGTAAAGTTGATGGGTCGCTATTAAAGCGAGTGCACATAGAATATACGGTATAATGGCAGCTTATGAATCTCAGGGAACAACTATGTTTTTCACCAGTTTTATAACAATACCGATAATTTGCTTATAATTTGATTTTACGGTGCGATCGAATGCTCAGACTTAGAATTTTTATAGAAGCCAATTTCTTGGTATTTTGTACTATTCTGTTTAATACCATTCCTCGAGTAATGTTAAAAATTAAAAGATATTAAAATATTTAAAAAAATTAAGACACCTCTGAATTTTACTATTTCTAATATTTTATAAAAATCGAACAAATGATTTTAAAAATATTACAGACAGTATTTACTTATTTTCCAACACAGATTATAGTAAATATTAAAATTAAAGAATCTCACGATCAGAAATAAACGTGAAGAATTAATATAGTATGTCCAGCGCAACAAATAAATACTTCCTGGTTTTTAAGTCTTCACGTTAATGAAGTTTATTAAATTTTTAGTAAAATTTGACATTTTCATATTTCATAAAATTCCTCACACTCTTCCGAGCATCTGTCTTTAAAGACACTAAGAAATTAAGTACCGCACAGGAAGAAGAAGAAACGATCTATAGCAATTGGGTACATCATTTACATTCAGTGGTTGTCTAAATCAATTCGAAGTGCTGGCGTCTGCGGGAGACTTTGCGGGAAACTAGAACAGGAGTCGGGTCGTTATCAACCTTTTCGTGACGCTGTCTAGACGGTATCCTCGTGAGGACCACAGACTCGAAAACATTGAAATGCTATTGGCCACGCATCATTCCCCGTAAAAAGCTCCCCTTATTCGATGCGACCTCGTTAGCCAGCGAAAATCTTTGCTACAGATGTTACTGATTATCGAGGACTCGACTTTT